GTTTGTAATATGTTTTTCAAATGATATATATGCCAAATATGATGAGGTACTGTACATTCGGTTCGGGAAGGGGAGGTATTGTGGTCGCGTTTACATTCAGGAAGGGGAGGTAATGTAGTTGAGGCTGTAGGGGTGCGTGGTGACTGCGTATAGAGCAGTCAATGAGGTGCCAGATGAAACAGCCGCCTCGGGAGGTCCGAGAAGGGGTGTATGTGAAGCAGCAGATGGGGTGGTGGCCGCAAGAGGGCTTGGATAAGTCGTAGAAGGTATGTGTGCCACGGAAGGTGAGCCGGATGGTACAGCTTCTGCTGCTGAAAGCGTGCGATGGTCGGCAGGGGGGGAGTTTAAATTGTCAGTAGAACCAGAGATGGGGAGGGGTAACGAGAATCTGAAATTTGGCTGAAGGAGTGTGAGTATGTATGTTCAATGATCACAAGAGATAGCTTACGCACCTGAGTGGTTTCCCAAAAATGTTTTCCATATCCGATGTGAATTCCTGTACAAATTGTGGTCTGTTCAGATGTCGGTTGCATCAGCAACAGCGCGAGGAAAGAAGTCTCTGGGGAGTTACGCACCTTGTAAGTTCCCGGGTGCTTCCAAACAGGTTTGAGGATGGTCCCCCAGTTTTTCGACGTGTAGTGATCCAGAATCTAAGTCCGTCGTGGCTGAGAGAGACGATAACATTGATCATGTGACGATTACATAAAATATTTTTCAAACTCAGTGTCCGTATCCGCTATTCTCCACAGACATGGTCAGCCAGCCGGATTTTGCCGCACCGACGCAGTTTACTCGATGTCGCAATTTCCAAGCAGTTCCAAGTTCGAATCCTGTTTGAGGAAACGAGTAATCTACTCTCCGCCGCCGAACGAGAATCTTGAGGGGAGGTTTGTCGCTACTCGCCAGGCAGGAGGCTGCTGCCCTCATTTTCTCGGTTTTGGAAATTCAAGTCCTTTCTTGTCAGCCAAAGACCCCAGGCGCAGGTTCGCTGCGGCAGCTTGAACGCTACGCTGGAGGTAGAAGCAAATACACCCACAAAGTTCACTCAGCATACTCAACAAATCTAAATATTTGTCTCCACGTTGTCTCCACGGCCACAATGGCCGAAACCAAGCATGGCGTTCTCTGCATGAACAAAGTATATATACAACTAGTATGTACACAACGATGATAAGTCTTGGTTCCGTTCAATCATAAATATTGAATTGTCTAGTTCACCACATAACCAACCCTCTTCCCACCATCAAAGCTCCGAAAACAATCGCTGACAATACCAAAGCACCACCCTCCAATCTTCCAGTCACCTCCGCAGCACTAACACTCCCCTTACTCGTGCTTCCAAGATTGTCCTTGTTGGCATCCATCGCCGCATATCCGTTGGACGTCGCCAGCACTGACGGATCTATAGTAAGAGTGTTTCCTGTTTTTGTTAAAAATGTAGTAGAGAATGTCGTGGACGGAGCGGCGTCGGTAACCTCCGTCAAAGCGGCATCGGTGAGGAAAACGAGAGCGACGCCCGGTGCGGGGACTGTAATGGAACATGTATTCGCCGTCTGATCGCACTGCACCGTTTGTACGTCCAGGGTGCCTTGTGGGCGGCCGTCGGATTCAAAATTAGCTCCAAAGGTCTGAGTGGCAGTTAAGTCGGTGAAGGAGGAATGGATCAACGATCACCTACCTGACCCGCCCATGTGAAGTTACCCTTTGTTGATACCGATGGAGCAAGAAGATACCTATTAGCAGAATCGAGGAGTCGCCAAAGTCTGAGATGATACATCACTCACTTCACTTGAACCTGCGAAGGGGTTGCATTCGCCTGACCCGTTTGACCACCTCCAATAGCGATGTTCACCGTGATAGTGTTCGCGCCTGAAGGATCGGTGATGTAGTTGAATAAAAGCACCTTAACGGGATTGCCGTTCTCATAGATCGCATAAGCGGGAGTCAACGTGTTATTGCTATTGGCCACAAGGTCAAGGACTTGAGAGGAGTTCGTGGGCCCGAGGGCCTCCGCCATAACGAGAGCGGAGTAATAAATGGGTCCGATCGTCCATTGGTGGAAGAGGGATTGATTAGTCGGAGGTGCTATAGAAGAGTGGTGAACTTTGTGACGGCCTAAACACAAAAATTTGCTTACGAGTGAAAGGCTGTTGCGGACGGTTTGTCAAAAGGAATACAACCTAAGGAAATGAAGTCTTACGTTGTAGAATACGCTCTGACCACCAACGTGGAATAGTGCGCCAGAGAAATTTGAGTTCGCCATCTGCATGCCATAATCAAGGCCCCATAGAGCCGCACCAAAAGAGTCGCTGATACCAGCAAAACCGCCACAAGACGCCGAGTTGGTTTCAAACATCAACAGTTGCTTCCCTTTCGTTTGAGCATAAGCGGTCGAATTCAAATACGGAGCAACGATGGCCTGCCCTGCTCCATGATTCAAGTATGTTGGGAATAGAGTTTGAGGGTCTTGAGGGCTGCCAACTCCGAATTGCGCATAGCAATTGTCGGTGGGGTAGTGTTCCACAGCGAGGAATGCAAGGTTGGTGCTGAACTCGTCGACGAAGCCTGTGTTCCATACCATCTCTGGGGTCCAAGCTCCTGTCGCAATGTTTGGGCCGATGAGAAGATTCTTGCTCGGAATATTGCTATCATTTGCCACCGCTGCTACAAGTGTGCTGAATTCTCCTGCATAATCATAGGGACCGTAGGTCTAAAGCTATTAGTTGCAAGGTGAGCCACTCATGAAAGGAGCCATACCGATGGACGATGACCGTGCGCCACATACAAATCTGGCTCATTTCCTACTTGCAACCCAATAAGATGGTCGCCCAGAACCGCCTCGCCTAATTCGGCGATTCCAAGGCGAAAGTTAGAGGTATCGTTGAAGGGTATACCAAGATGCCATCGAATATTCACGAGAGCTGAGATGTTCCCCATCATGTAAATGAAATCTGGCGTAAATATTAACGGTGGCGTTTGTGTCTGAGATTGTGGTTAAAGGAGAATAAACTCGACGAATTCAAACGACGTACAGGGTTTGATGCGCCAGCGATATCCTTCTCGAGGATCTTGCCATCCGGGGTGCTGGGGACGAGAACAGCAGTCTCTTGCGTGTTTCCTCCGACACGGATAGTTACCCGGCCCACACGCTGTGCAAGGTTGGCCATCAGATTGAGAAACGGAACTTGAAGGACAGTTCTGAAGGATCGTCAGCTCGTTGGCCTCCTCACCACAAAATCAACGAACGAGTTTTTTCCTACTGAATAAAGAGTTAAGACATCGACGAAGATCTGACACGAAGGAATTACTCACAAACTTGGTTAACAACAGACATTTCTATAGAGAATCCAAAAAATGAGCCAGTCTGCGGTATTGACGCTCCTGGCGTTCCTCCATTCTGCAGCTGAATAGCAAAGTTGGTGGTAATGGCAGGGTTTGGCGGGGCGGGTGGATTGAGAACAGTCGGATTGTATGCTGCGGCGCCGGTGTAGTTCGCTGAAGTTGCACTCGATGTCCCGCTCGCCAACGGCTGTTGACCTTGCTGATAGTAAACGGTAATTTGAGCAAAACCAACAAGCGCCTGCATCAAAATGCCAAGCCCAACGGCAGCATTAAGCGTAATCATATCCGGAGATAAGCGCGCTAAGCCTTATTAGAGCTATTTTCGGCGTCTGGACTGGCGGGGTGACTTGTACGAGCTTGGAGGTCGACGAGGATATCGCGCAGACCGTTGTGAGGAGGATCCGCAAGTACGAAGAGGGGTATTAATAGGATGAGAGGCAGCGTTACCAGAATAAATACCTTCCCACAGGCTATAAATAATTTTACTGCCGTCTCTAATACTTATCTATTTTTGTAATGCTGACCCAGGTAAGTACGTCTGGTACGTGCGTGCTTGAATTCATGGGATCAAAAGATTTCTTCGTTATGAACACAATTAATCTGGCTTTACTACAATGTTACGCTCTCGTTTTATCTTTCGAGTCCTTTGAACTTTGGATTGCTCAAGATACACTTGTTCTAATTTTGTCACTCTCTGCTGCGGTCAGGTTGGCTAAATCAAATGGGCCTTGTCGCTCAAAAAAAAAAAAGCTGATTGTCTTATTCTTAGCTCCCCAATTCGAAAACCCGGGGAGGTGTGCGAGAGTCACATTCTGAGAATGACAGCCGATGCACAATTAACTTGTTTCAAATTATGTTGTGCAACGACACAGTCGTAAATTAGGTGACAAAAAAAAATTACCATGTCTTCAGAGGATGTACGACCTTAACATCCCCTCAAGCCTAAGCTGCGGTCCTCTGCCGCGGTGAAACCGTGAATGATCCGCTTATCGGATTCCGAAAACAGTCACGCTATTCAGGAGCATTCATACTTTTTATTCTAGTGCTGGTGAGTTTTATAATATTGTTTCTTTTGCACATGTGTAAGGTTGGCGGGAGCTCCACGGCAGAATTCGCTTTGAAATCCGAAGATCTACTAGGGTTACATCTCCTTATTTTCTCCCCAGGTGTCCCTCAACTTGAACACGTCGCGTCGTTGCTCAAGTTCCCCTATGAGAGCACTACAGGCCCTCGTTTGCCATTTTCATGGGCGTGTATTTTATTTTCAATCATAAATTGTCTTGAAAGACTGAGTACCAATTTTTCGGACAACATAAAAAATGGCTAATATGTTGACACGTGCACGATGGCGACCAGAACCCAAAGTCAAAACCCGCCATACAAACTGACAATAATGCAGACCGTGCTGTATTAAAGCCATCGGTGACTGGGTTTTGCTTGCCAATGCCAGAGAACTGATGTCGTTGAAGTTTGATTGTGGATATCGATGTCACGTTTTTTTGTGCCCATAAGGACTGCGCATCATGATGTTGCACTTGGCCGATATGGCTGTGTGCATTTTCTTGATGGCGAGCGCTAGGGTAAGCTTTCTCATCGCTGCCTCGCCATTTTCAAGTCTTTCTCACTTGTTGTACCTCTTCAGGGTCCTGTTGGACAGGATGCATATCCGCTGGACACTCCTCTTATCTATATTGCTGGCGCACACCGTCAGATCGACACCAGCAAGGCGCACTTACGACACTCATGATTATTATGTCGTGGAACACGACCCGAATACCCCGGATGGTGCATCGCTAGGCGATGTGGCTCGAGCGCTCGGCGTCGAGCTCGTGGAACAGGCTGGAGAATTGCGAGACCACTGGTTGGTGCGGATACCCAAACCGGAGGTTAATAAACGAGGAGAAGGGGACTCCGATCCAGTGGTTGCAGCGTTCGATAGCCTCCGCCAAAAAGCCGCATCTAACCTCGCGGCACGCGACAACGACCACGCACGCAGCGTGGTGTCTTCTGTAAGGTTTCTTTCTCGACAAGAACTCCGTCAACGAGAAAAGCGGGCACCACCGCCTGTTCGTCCGCCTCGATTCCCCACTTTGAAGAGCGTCATGAAAGATTTTGGTATACGCGACCCACTATTTTCTCAACAGTGGCACATAGTCAACGAGGACGATCCAGAACACATGATGAACGTCACTGGTGTGTGGGAGATGGGTTTGACAGGCAAGGGCGTCCTATCTTCGCTCATTGACGACGGGTTGGATTACACTCACGATGACCTTGCCGCCAACTTCGTATGTTTCGCCCTTTTCGTTTCCGTTAGTTTCTGACCACAGTGTGTAGGACGCCGCCAATTCCTACGATTTCAATGACCACGAAGCCCTCCCAACACCCAAAACAGACCGTGATCACCATGGGACCCGCTGCGCAGGTCAAATAGCTGCAATAAAAAACGATGTCTGTGGCGTTGGAATTGCCTATGACTCAAAAGTAGCTGGTCTTCGGATTCTCTCAGCTCCGATTTCCGATGTGGACGAAGCAGCTGCACTGAATTACGGTTACCAGGACGTTTCCATTTACAGTTGCAGTTGGGGTCCAAGAGACAACGGCGAAAAGATGCAAGGACCCGGTTACCTCGTCAAGAAAGCTGTGGTGAATGGCATCAACAATGGAAGGCAGGGCAAGGGATCCATTTTTGTATTTGCCAGTGGGAACGGCGGTGGATATGGTGATCAATGCAATTTCGATGGGTACACGAATAGTATCTACTCGGTCACCGTTTCTTCAGTGGATCACAAGGGCCTTCACCCGTATTACTCTGAAGCTTGTGCGGCGAATATGATTGTCGCGTATAGCTCTGGAGATGGAGAGTACATCGTGAGTTCTCTCCTGACATGACGAAACAGGTTTTTTACTTCGGGTGATGTCTAGGTCACAACCGACAGAGGGAAAAACGAGTGTGCTACAAACCACGGAGGTACATCTGCAGCAGCCCCCAATGCTGTGGGCGTTTTCGCACTTGCGCTGGAAGCTCGGTCTGTTGATGACCTCTTCTTCACTCTACCTTTCACCTCTAACATTCCCTCTCAGGCCGGACCTTACGTGGCGCGACATCCAATACCTCTGCGTCGAAACGGCCCAGATGATTAACCCCAACGATCCTGACTGGGAACGGATGGCATCCGGTCGTATGTATAGCTACAAATACGGGTTTGGGGTCCTCGACGCCTATCGTTATGTCACTGTTGCAAAGGACTGGAAGCTCGTGAAACCACAAGCATGGCTTGCTACTGAAACCATCCAACTCGACGGAGGTACCATGGACGCTAAGAAAACATATACTGGTGGGCGAAGGATCGGCCATGGTGTTGTCAAGAGCGCCATCAAGATCACCAAGGACATGATGGTTGAGCATAATCTTGAGACGTTGGAACACATTACTGTGAAAGTGTGGATCGATCATACAAGGCGAGGGGATGTTGAGGTGGAGATTGTTAGTCCGCGTGGGATTCGCAGTATCTTGGCCGGTTCTAGGGAGCGAGACGATGATAAGACTGGTTTTCCTGGTTGGAAGTTTATGAGCGTCAAGCACTGGTGAGAATTTTAGCTTTTTCTTTAACCTGGGACACCTTGTTGAGCCACTCTAGGGGCGAAAATCCTGTCGGCGAATGGACGATCAAAGTCTCTGATCAACAAGAACCAGAGGGCAAGGGATACTTCTTAGGTTGGAATATGGTCCTCTGGGGAACCACTATCGATCCTTCCAAGGCCAAAAAATATGAAGTCCCGCTTGTTGAAAACCTCCTCCCAGCAAATCAGCAGGGTGCTCCTTCTCGGCCCAGCATATTCGAACCCACCAGCGTACTCCACGCGAAGCCTACCGACCTCCTTCATGGAGGACCTGGCTCGGCAGCGGGTGAGAACACGAAAGTGGCTTTTCCGTCAAAGACGGCTTCACCCAATGCAGCCGATGATGAGGGGTGGTTATCTAGTCTGGCACTTACCAAATCAAAGCAGCGTGCGCTTGTAGGTGCTATTGGGCTCCTCGTCCTCCTCAACATAGGTACAGCTACGTACTTCTGGCGTCGCAAACGTGCTTCTCAGAGCAGTTACAATGCTTTGGATGGGGAAGATGTGCCACTTGGCGCTGTGGGGAATGGTGGAGCGGCAGCGGCACGCTCGCCTAGGAGACGAGCATTGTATGATGTTGTTGAGGAAGACGGCGAGGAGACGGAGGATGAGGGTGATGAGAACACTGCTCTGGCGGGTAGGACATCAGCCAAGGGGCTTGGATTTCATTCATCGTTTTTGGATGATGATGAGCCTTTGACTGCTGAGGCCGCTACACCGAAGTATAGTGATCAGCCATCGCAGGTTACATGACCATGAATACATAGCTTTATTACTTATTATCTTTCTCGTTACCTCAACTCACTTTAAGAGACGCGTTACGCTCAAGTCCCGTGACACGGGTCACATTCACAATTACGAAACTGCTCTCTGTCTTGTCCCCACAACAAAGTCTGATTGAGAGCTGATTCGGCTCTTGGAACTCGAGATTTCTTACCTTCGGAGACTTTCTACTACTTTCTGGCTTGTTCGATCCTCGTTCGTCAACTTTGATTTCAATTTCAATATCAATCTGACCGTTTCTCAGGTGAACTGAGCATGGCGTCTGAAACGGAGTACCTCCGTGCCATTTTACCTAGTCTTCCTACAGGAATTGCTGCGAAATTGCGCAGCTTATGTGCTACGCCAGCCACTGAGTCCGCCCTGGAAAATCTGGTTCGGTTCATCTGTGGAGCCCAGCATTCGCCGGAGGCGCCAAAAGAATTTCATGGGGAGTGGTTTGAAAAGCAGTTGACTACAAGAAATCTTCTGAAAGGGATGAACTGGGGCTCAAATTCTTCTGAGAACAAACGGCCAAGGGATGATGGCGCAGAGAATCAGTCCGAATCATCTAAAAAACCGCGAATATCGCCAGCACCAGTCGCGACAGATGGAAACCCCATATACACCCTCCATTCTATATCCACCACCTCTCCCATTCGGAAAAAAGTTGATATCACTATTTGCGAAAATTCAATCACCTTCACCAACCCTTCAACACGCGCCTCGGAAGGATCGGTCCCTCGTGCGTCTATACGTCGTGCTTTCCTCGTTCCGACGAGGGGAAAGTCGAAACCACACTGGACTGTGATACTGCTTTCATCTGATACCCCAGATCGTGGAAAACCCGCAAACCCAGCAACACCTGAAAACCCTCAGATCATATTCGGCCTTGACGCGACAAGCACGCCACCTTTCACTGTAACTACCTACAAATCCGGTTCTGAACCTACTCCCGAGGTCTCCCCCAAAGGCAGTACAACACTACCCTTCATCCACGCCTTCTTTACCCATCTCGGGATAGCACTTTTTGAACCGACCGTGGACGTGTTCAAGAGCGCTTGTGTTGGGATAGGAAACAATGTTATGGCGGGCAACATACCTGGCGTTGAAGCCTATCGCGCAGCCAAATCCGGGAGTTTGTGGTTTACGAAAGAAGGCATTCTCTGGGGAGAGAGCAAACCATGCGAATTCTGGCCTGTTGGGAGCCTCATTAGCAAGAGCGAGGGCGTGCGGATCATAGGCGGTAGCGGGAGGACATGCTCTGTCGTTTTGACCAGGAAGACAGAAAGTGGGAGTACCGGCGGGGATGACGAAGATATGGGTGAAGAGACTGAGTTTGGCATGGTCGACGCTCGGGAGCAAGAGGGCATTGATCGGTGGGTGAAAAAGTATCGTCATCTCTTTGGGAAAACGGAAGGTCAATCTACGGATGAAGCCGTGGATGTGGAATCGAAGCAGCCGAAAAAAGTACAGCAGTTTGGGCCAGTGACAATCAATCAGCTTGCGGCCGCAGATGATGACGATGACGATGACGACGATTTTGCTGTGGACTCTGATTCTGAGTCAGACGGTGGATCTGCTTCTCCATCTTCGGAAGACGATGAAGCTGGGGGAAGTGACGGGAGTGATGAGGAAGAGGGCTGCGAGGATGGTGAAGGCAGCGATGAAGAAGGGGAAGAAGAAGAGCTCAAACCCGAGCATCACCCTCTCCTGCGACCAGGTGCAATGCCGAAGATGTCCCGTGCTGCCATGGACATGGTGGTTGGAATGGTCGAGGATGATATGATGGGCGGTGGGAGTGGCGAGGAGGACGAGGAAGATGAACTAGACGATTAAGGCAATATTGTAGACGTTCATAGTAAGCCCCACTTGCATTCTACCCCTTCTTTGTTTTTGGGCGTTGAGATAAATGATCTGACTTGGAGTGGGCTTTGGCCTTCATATTTATTGGGACTATACAGACGGCCTCTGCCTATAGTCATGAGCCTTAGTACTCATGATTGTTGGGGTTGGTTCAAGAGGATGCAATGGTCGGTAGATCCTCCGAGCACGAGGAGGATCAACAGGACGACGAGTAAGCTAAACATGCACTTCACGCCCTCCCTCCGCTTATCTCTCAAATCCAGTGTTCTATCCGCTGTAAGAGTGTATTCACCGGATGCAAAAGCCATGATGTGAATATTCAAGAAGAAGTTTGACAGAGGGCGATGTTGGCCAACCTTCAAAGCGACGTTGGCCTTGATGTTTTCAAAAATCAAGGGGGAGTATTGTCGTACGTTCTCGATCCAAAACGCCAAGCCGGAGTGCGATGTTTCCGAGCGACAAATTGGGATTTCTGACCGACGCAGGCTCCGAGTCGCGGTTCTCAATTCAGGGGAACTTCAGGTGGCCAAAATGAATTCGACTACACGCAGCCCATAAACTTTAATCGAGTTCCCTGCTATTCGTTCGAGTTTAGATTCTGGGTTCAGCGAAAGGGAAGACAGCGAGCAAAACAGACACCTTAGTGGCGCAAGTACGCAGAGTGCAGTGGAAAACCAAGGTGTTGACTGTTGTCTCAGAACAAGTTATGCAATTTTGGATCAGGTCTTGAATATGCTGAGGCACGAGGGCACGAAGTTTTGAAAGCTGTCGGTCGACTCCGTCTAGCTCAAGGTGGGTTTACCCCTTCCCCTGGCAGCTGAACTAGCGATGGTGCAGATAGCAGGTCCGACAATTGCTGGAGAAAGTAATTTCAAGGTGGTCCTTCAGGCGCATCCAAATCACCCAAATCCTGTCCTGGGCATGGACAGTTCTGGATCGTTTTTTGTTGTTCAACAATGCCCGTTGCGAGACGCAAGGTTGGATTTCACCCCCTTCTCCCCACTGATCGCGTAATTCCAGGAACTCCATTCTACGATGGCCCTGTTACATACTCTGAACAATTTTCAATGCCGAGTCAAAGCTGCTCCTGGCCTAGGTTGTCAATCGTGCTAGGAAACCATAATAGACGCTTTGTCTACAGTTCATTCAACTATAAAAGCGTCACTGCTGGCACGTCAGTTGGAGCCGTCATAGCCTCCACTCATTGTAACGGTCAGAGCTTGAAAGGACACTACAGGCACAAAGAACCCCGTTATTCGCGCCTCAAAAAAATCGGCCGAATTGGTGAACAGCTCCTGACCTTTGTATCACGGGAACTAGACAGATGACCTTCTTCTACACTTGCTCCCACCAGGAGAATATCTTGAGGAGCACGCCAGTAGGAACATTCATGGGGCCGGCGCCACTTGACGTACGCTGGCAGGAACATTTGACGGTGCCCTCGACGGACAACAACCGTACTAATGTATCTCGTGCCCTGGTGCTCTACTGTTTATAAAGGGTGCACTTTTCTCGTTTGGTGCTCAGCAAACATATCCACAATGTCTTTCGGCCCCGGACCCGTTATCCTCTCCCTCTCCCAATGGACTGAGCTCAACCTCAGCGCAATTATCCAGGCCACCGCGACAGCCAGCGCCCTCGACACAATTGAGAGCCTGCTCTTCAAGGACGCTCTCATCACCATCAACGGGCAAACTAGCTCCCGCGCTGACCTCGCGGAACAATTGAATAAAGCCAGGTTCCCAGGAACCCAGGCTGCCATCTCTTTCAAAGGGGCTGTTGAAGTTCCTGCCGATGCTCAGAAACCTCTCCTCGTGAGTCGATTTTTTCCTCCTCATGAGAAACATTGAAGTAAGCATGGTCGTGACTAGGCCGGCTCTGTTGGCGTCTTCTTCACCGCCGTCGTTAAATTACCCGAAATCATTCGCGATGTTCCCCCCCAGGAGAAATTGACTGCCTCTATCAATGTGGTGTATGTCACTGTTTCATTCCATGTCTAATCCCAGCAAAATTTTGACAGATTAACTTTTTTCCATATAGAATTGCAGAAGGTGAAAGTCTCTCTAAAGTGACTCCGGACAGAAAAGTCAAAGAATTGAACGCAGTAATTCATCTGGGAGCTGTCCAAGCTTGAAGCGCCTAAGTTGGCGTCGTCGTCTCTTCAATGAAGTGAGGTGATTTTTAGAGAGGGTCGAGTTTGTCGGATCAGATGTTTAGTATAAGATGTTCTTCACCAGGTGTCAATACAATGACATGTTGAATTACTGATCAAACGTTGCCCTATGTAAGTATTCCGCTTTTGTGGAATGTAAGTGGCAGTGCACATTTCCTGTTTCTTCCTTTGGCACCCAATTGGCACCTTCATTCTTAACAATTTATGTAGCGGTCTGCGAGATGAACTTGCTCGAGTCAACCCCAGGAAATGTTCTGAATGGGATAAACCTGGCCACTCAAAGTCTTCTGACAAGGCGAAAGTAGCGCAACCAGGAAATGGACTAAAAATCCGCGAATGTTGCCATCCTGAGAGAAGGCTTTTATGCGCCTTTCATCTCATAGCTCATTCAAGGAACAAACAGTCGAACACCATTGACTTTCATCTCGAGAATATGCCATTACGAACTTATGCCAGGTAGCAAGGGGGATTTATCAACTTCCGAAGCCCTGAAGGTCTACTACGATCTCTTTGGCGAAACGAGCCATGGGAGGCACAGAATGGATTCAGGTCCGCAGCGTCCGCTGACCATTTTAAATCAACTGGCGGCTTGCTGGGGCTCATGGCGACAACGATGTTGATGTGGGCTCCCTTCCCATTCTGAACATGGATGCGTTTCTTCGCCTTTAAAAAAATGACGATAAAATGAGGGAAGTGACGTGACTGGACTAACCGTTCGTTTGAGACACGTTTCTGGTAAGCCACGCCCACATTTTACCGTCTTCTCTCAGCTCAATCCTAGGAACTACGTCGCGTTTGAAGCGTTGAATTCGAATTCAACGATTTGACTCGCCGGTTGGACGCCCGTGACCATGATTGCCATCAAGACTTGATATCGCTACCTGTAAGTACGCCAATTGACATAGAATTTCCAGTCACCCTCCTAACATTCGGTCACAAGGAACCAAGGAAAATACGAAAGCAGCTTTCCGCTCGGCGTTCATCCTTTTCCGTGATGCAGTACAAACTCCATGGGCGGCGAAATGTATATATAAATTATGACTTTGAACCGCGCTTGTCGGTGACGGTCATAGCACGAGGCTCTTCTCATAACATACGCCACTGGTACGCATACCCTTCACGGTATATAAAGGACACCTTTTGATTTTTGAGGTCAAGACATCTTCTTACTTTCACAATGACTGCCACTCAAATCGTTCTCCTCCCCCTCTCTCAATGGACCGAGAACCATCTCACTGCAATCTTCCAGGCTACGACAGCCAGCGCCCTTGAGACGGCCCTCGACGCATTCCTGTCCAAGGACGCTGTCATCACCGTCAATGGGTGCACTATCTCCCGCACCGAGTTCACGAACTTGTTGAGGGGCGAGAAATTCGACGAGACTCACGCCTCCGTCTCCTTCGCAGGGGCTGTCGAAGCTCCTGCTGATCCCCAAAACCCCGTCCTTGTGCGTTGACCTTTCCTCGTGGTGACAAATGATAAGTTGACCATAAATGATGACTAGGCTGGCTCTGTTGGAGTCTTTCTCACCGCCATCGTGGACGAAGCCATTATTATCCGAGATGTTCCCGTTCAGGAGCAGACGACCGCGTCCATCAATGTTGTGTATGTCACCGTTCTAATTCAATCGCAGCAACTTCAGACAGTTAACCTGTTTCCACAACGAAACAGAATTGAACAAGATGCCAGTCTCCCACTCCCACCTCCCCCATTCCCAGAATTAGACCGACGAAGGGTGACAGTGTTGAATGAAGTGGTTCTTCTGGGGCGTGTCTCTCCTCAGAGCGTCTGAACAAGGTAGCTTATCGTGGAAGTTGTACCAACGTCATATATTCCCGAATTTGTAGAAAGTCTTACTATCCTATATAACAATGCCCATCTCAAGATAGTCCAATGATCAAACCCTTCCCAAATCCACTGGTTTCCACATCAGAAGATACATGATGGCCCTTACAAAACCTTTCAAAGAGATGCATAAACGACTTGTGAAGCAGCTCAAGACGAAGGCTTCCATGTGTGTTCGTCTGCCGAATTAAGTATCATTTATAAGATAGGTGTTGACGGAACACATGGCTGAACCAAGGTTAATTACCCGGTCGCGTCGGAATGGAAGGATTTGAAGTGATAGCCTTCTCGTCGCCATATTCATCATGGCCATGATGAACCACGAGTTCGTCGGGAAGGAGGACAGCACGATCGACAGCGACGGGCAAACCTCTATGCCTGCCTCGTAACCTATCGATCATCAGACTGACGCCTCAATCATGACCATATGATATTGACGTACATGATCACAATGACAACAAGTTTTGATAAAGGGCGCAGGGTTCCCGAGAACGCGAAATTATCCTGGATGAGACATGAGAAGACAGCGACAGAGTCCAGACTCGGTGAATGGCATTCTTACATCTGGGAAACCGAGACTGAGGCCGATACCTCCGAATGCTGAGACAAGCTCGAAAAGTATTCGGAAGATGTCAAACCATTTCTTAGATTCGTCCAGGAGATTGTTCCTTTCGATGATGGCAACGAGGAAGACTCCCCACACAAGCCACCAGATATCTATCATTAAAGGTCAGCACTGTCAATGATATTTAAGAGGATAGAAAGGACACACCAATAGACATCTGTCGGCGCAGATGCCATCCGACATACCGACCGACCCGTTCGCGTCGGGTTTCGAGTTTGCCCAGATCATTTGGTTCCTCATCTTCCTGATCAGGTGGCCTTTCGAACACCCCAAGAGACTGCTCCTCGTATCTATGGTTGCGTTTAAGACATTCAGGAAAGGCGATATCCTAATGATGCGTACACATTTGTAGCACGAATGCTCATCGCGACCTTGGAACAGGGAATGTTGATCAAGCGGTCACTTCCTTGATTGATAGGATTTACGCACAGGATACACCTATAATAAGTTTGCTGATTGTGAGGCTTTGAGGGTGATGGTCATTCGGAGAACTCACGGCGATGTACATCATTACAACGTATAGGAATCTACAAAAGCAAAAGTGTTTGAGTGAATTTAACGGAATTTGACAGAATGCAACCTCGTACTGCAGGGAAGGAGCAAGAGATGCGATTGGAACGATCGAGAAACCCGATGCACGAACTGCCAGACCTTGGAACAAACCTGCGATGACTCGAGGTCCGACTGGTATGCTATCATATGCAGGAAGACCGATATCTGGTTTACATGGGTGAGGAGGTGATGAATGACCAACTATTAGAAAGCGTACTGAGGACTAGGAACGCGACCCATTCAATGACACTGGCCATATATCAACTCAGGAAAAGATAATATGAGGACCAGAGGGCGTACCTAAACAATACAAGACAGATTACAAGGAACCATGTCTGATGGCTCGGAAATCTGGGTCAAATCTTTCGTTAACATTTGTATAAGATAAGAGAACATCGAGAAGACTGACAAATACAAAAAGCACCTGAAAAGTTGTGAGATGGTTGCTTCACAGTTTGTGGGGCCGACTATACCTTCTTGGATGATCCAGCAGGAATGAGAGTGCCTTGTTTAACTCCGAATTCTCGGGAAACACCTTGGAACCTACCCAGCTGGGATTTGTCAGGAACTGAATGGACAAATAGATAACTGCTGTCTTACATGACGAAGCGAAGGCTTCAGAAGTGGAGTTAGTGCACAAGCAGCAGGAAAGTAGAGATCGCACGAACAAGATGGGCTAAAATCAAGTCAATGTAAGCGGGGCGCACATCGTTGTATTCATAGACGAAACGAACCAATGCATGATTTCCGGCCAAAATCGAGAACCCCAAAGCAACTGACAACGAAATACTTGTCAGATAGAGGATCGGTGAATTATTGGTATGGGCTTACATATCATGGGATACGCCTTCTCAAATGGCACCATTCCACTGCGGTCCATTAGAAGGGCAGTGTCGATATATGGCAAGAGGCTGACTCACGCATCGACTAGAGACAGGCCACCTCCCGTGTACGCCCCCATGATCTGGAACAACGAAAACCTGAGCTTATGAGCCCCAACCTCACGTCCCATCCACCCTTCATATCTCACCAAGCTTTGGGCACCAACTGAGGTTGTGATTCGAAGACATTGTTATATGTCTTGGTTGCGCACAGCCAAGGTCCAAATATCATCAAGGTCAACAACTGGACACCCACAAAATACTGAAAGGATGTCAGATGAAGATAATAATCCAGGCTGAGAAACTTACGGAGGGAACGAGGTAGCTCAAAAGCCTTAAGGCACGATACTCGGCCCCTCCAATTTCCTCCAATTGGTTATCCGTCAACGATTCCGTGTGAAAGTTTGAGTTGCGTCCAACAACTAGCCCGTCAAATTCCAGCCAAGGAACAGACTTTTCTTCTAGTGTTGTTATTGTGGGCATGGTGAGTTTTCTTTCCAATCTGCGATGGGTAGCGGGAGCGGCAAACTTGATGACTTTGTCAGCGAGTTCCAGGGGACCAGGAAATCCCCCGAGACCCCTGTACTTTGTTTGATTCATCGGAGAACCAGGCCCGTTAGAAGTGCGCCTCGTATCCCCTCGTGAAGGAGCTCGTCGACCCTCTGAAGTAAAGTATGGGTAAAGCAGGTGGAATACGCCAACTATGGCGACATACCTCTCAACACCATGGGGTGGTATGTGACCACTTGTGGAGAGACACCTGTGGCCGTGGCAAAGACCGACGTTTCAGATCGACGCCGCTCGTCTATTGGTGAAGGTAGCAATATACTTGCTTGCCTAGGTGACGAAGAGAAGGTGCGGACGTCAGAGAGGATGGGCTCTTCAGGCTGTTCATTGATCGGTGGTAGGACATTCCCTTGCCCATTATTCAGTGTTGCACCAGGCGTTGGTCCGGTGAAGTCAAATTGTGGAATTGACCTTTCCTCATCCAGAGTTTGTACAGGAACGGGCTGTCGTTGTTTGAATGCAGCGATTGGAGAGGAAATTGTCGGGAAGATGGATCTTCGTTTTCCTCGTCGTGATCGACGTTGTTCAGCAACATATTCGCAATGGGTGCGGAAGAACCTTCTATAATGCAATGTTCGTGTCAATATCTCATCAACCCATATTCACGACAACTGACTTCCTCACCAGAACCATGACCCAAGCAACAATCGTAAAATCGCCCTACTCCGTGTCAGCCCAAAAAGAAAGAAGAAGTACGTAGTACCCACAATAGTCATTAAAAAATATAGGATAGCTTGTTGCCACCCCGTGGTAGTCGATAAGTCAACTGTCGACAATCCGGTCACCGTCATGGCAGAATAGCAGAGAAAGAGAGCGTCCACGTAACTGACGTGATAACGTCCGTTTGAAGCATAAAAGATCCCAGAGAAAATAAGGGGTATAAACGTGAACGCGAAGGGGTGGACGCGAAAGAATGTGACTTGCTCAAGCAGGTGGTCGAGTAACCTGGTACGCCTAAACAGCGACGGAGCTTCGTGATTATCGGGTATTATAGACTCCACAGTAGCCTGAGCCATAGATTCCTCGGACCACACCAAAATTATGTAGAGGAGATGTCAGGGACCCAGGGTCCTAATATTGGGGTATTCTCGTTTCCTTCAACTTGATTCCATGATTTTCTTGAATACAGTATGACCCAATCTTGGGTCACTCACCTCAACCAGAAGATCCAAACCGCCTTTGTCCAACTGCCCAAAGGAATAAACGATCACTCAACGGTGTAGGTATAAAAGTGGTCCAAGATGCAAGCGCTCACGTGATCTCGGTGATCCATTTTCTCTTGAGAACCTTGTGCTGCGATTTTTGAGGACATCTGGGATATGGAAATTCCGGCCGTCCGGCGGACTGGCGGATCCGGCACGCCAAACTCTATCATCTCCACTCTTTCTGTGCACGTAGATGGTCATTTTACATGTACAGTGATTCAATACTACTATTATGTATATGTATGGTATACAAGAAGACTGAGTATCTACAGGTGGAAGCGGCGGTTACCAACTGGCAGTCCCCAAGGTGGTTAGCGTCGCTTCGCCGTTGTCGACCTGTATGCAAACGTGCTTATAAGCCTGAGGTCTCCGTGATACATTTGTTTCTGCTTCCTCTCTTTCTCCCACTTCACGTCCTCGCCAGATTCTCCTTCTCTCACACCTTCAAATGCTCCTTATGCGCCTCCCAAACGAGCCTCCCAGCAACCTCCACTAGTCTCCATCATCGGGGATTTCCAATACCAGTCTTCAGGTTCGACAACGCGAGCTTCTCGGGGGACTTTGAATGGCGTTAGGAGGAGAGGGGCGTGTAGCACGAATTGCATCGCCATTTCTGGGGACTTGTATGTAGAAGATCCGAAGGATGGGCTATAAGATATCGTATCTACATAGTATCAAAATGTATCATGCTGCGATTCAAATAAAACTCACAGGGCTATTCCGAAAGGTGTGAAGGGTATCGTCCAATCGGTGTGGAAGCGAAAGATGGTGTCGACGGCCAGACACGCGCCCACAGCGGCGGTGTTTGGCTTTTGCGCTTTGGTGTTAACCGCAAGGGCGGAGGGCGGCCTTCGTCTGGTTTGTGTAACTGTGCAGCGTAGAATACGTTGGAGATGTCGTGGTTGGCGTCCTCGTCGATGTTGCGGACTTCCTCAATATCGAAGGGGTTCCCTCGTCCCGTTGTCGTTAGCGCTACAGTGCGGTCCGCATCGTCACAAATCATTTTCCCTTGTCGTGGTCGTCAGGCAGTTGTACAGCTACCAGTGTACTGTAGTTGTAGATCTTTTTCCCTGTTCAGTCTCACTATAACCATAGCCGTAAACTTACCAAGTGTCAGTGTCGTGGTTGTCCATCAGGCCAATGTCAACGTTAGAGTCGCGTTCATTCACGCTATGTAGAGAGTTCTTGACGAATGGGCAGCAGAGGAACTTGCGGCTGAAGTCAAGATCGGAATTTGCCGCATGGCTGACAAATTCATTTGCCGGACGCCGGACACGCGGAAATTCCAAATCCGAGATTCTTTGCGATTTTTTCAGTTCAATACCACCCGTGAACCCCGGTTGTTTGGTCCTGTTAGATAGGAACTCGATGTGCTTGTTCCTGTCTAACTAGATACAAAACCACTTTTCCAGCGCTCTGGGCAATAACTTTCATTACCTCCCTACCTTTTTACTACTTAAGACTTGTAGTAGAATAACTTTGTCCGCATTGGGATGTATCCTTTCCCATCAATGCTGGCCGTACACCCGTTGCGTCCCATCAATGCCATCATTGCTTTATCATTGCCGACTACCAAATCCGGTAATGGTTCTCACCGTGGGCGTCATCCCGCCGTCCCGCCCCCCAGTGATGAACATGGTGTTTCCACTGTTACTGGGCCGTTTCCCCTCAAATATTTTGCTAATTATACTGTTCTGTAGTGTGTTATGTATATTATGAGGTCAATTCAATGGTTCCCTGCCCTAGAGCATCACAATGTGCTGTGCAGATGATTATGGTGGTGACCAACATCAGTATCCATCTCCTGGGAGGTCTCTAAGTGAAATAGACACATCAGACAGGCAGTAATATGCTCACTGGGGATGGGGGAGATGTTCTATAGGCTGTAACATCCTCAGAACATGCATTCATGGTAGAGTAATTGAGATAAATTCCCCCCCTTTCCCCCCCATGGTATACCCCCACTAGAGCATCCCTAAAGCAAGGGATAGAGAGTATATTACATATGATTGATTTAGGGTGGCTCAGAATAGGCATCTGAGGGTTCAGGGTATCTGTACTGCTCAATATGCCCCCAGGGCATATAAATTCCTATGGAAGCCCCAGGGCAATATGTTCAATTATTATTGGATAGAAAGGTAGTATAATAGCATAACAATGAGAATATAAGGTTGTATTTGGAGCGCTTTACATGGGGAATGGTGCATGGAGAGGGGGAGGGGGAGACATACTGCCCATCAGTTACATCACCAATGACCTTCATTTACCACATATAACAGCTGATTCACATACTACAAAATACCCTTGGTCAACCTGCAGCAAGTAGGTAGCCTGGGGATGGCTATATAAAATTATTTGAGGGAGGTGAACAGAAGTCAGTGAAAAGTGCGAAATTGGCATACTGTGACCTTGCCATTTTAGATAAAAAATATATGAGGTGGTAGAAGGTAGGGCTGGGGTAGCTAGAGGGTGGTCAAAAAGAATTAAAGAGATGAGCAGA